TCTTAAATGGTTTTCTTTTTAAGTTCACCTGTTCCTTAGTTTCCTCCTCCTGGTGTGTATTTATGTTACAACGTCATCTCTGTTCTGTTCTTTTGTTAACTGTCCGCGTAAATTTTTTTTAATCTTTCTGTACAAAGTATTTTGTTAAAATTCAGATTAAAGTTTTTGTTTGTTTTTCCTGCTAAGACTGTGAGCTGGGACATGCGTGATGCAACCATTTGCAGTATGTTCCCTGGGATACAATAGAAAAAAAAAGTGCAGTAAACAGAGAACTCGAAGAACCAGAGAAGCAAAGCTGCTACAGAGGTGCCTTAAACCTGCTTTCTTTGTAACAGCCAGTAGGGGGCGACTCCTTTGATTTGACTGTGAATGACATTAAAGTACAGAAAAGACTTCCACACTGAGCTTAAATCTTAAATTTACCTTTTTTTAAATTTTGATTTTAGTCCTGTTAATATGCTAATAACAAAACCCAGTTCTGTAAATTTAAATTGTTGGTCACATTTATTTAATTTTTTTTTTTTAAAATAATGTAAGTAAATCAGTGTTTAACTCAGCCCTGATGTTGCCTCACACTTCATGACTGGTTCCCAGTCTCTTCCTTAGTGAGTAATACAGCTTATATATGTATATTTAACACTGGTACTGGATCAGGATTTGATATTAACAAATGACCAAAGACGAGGTCTCAGAATCATATGGGATCTAGAAAAAGCTGCTAACTCTGAAATACTCTTCATGGCAAGAACAGGAACTGTGCGCTAAAACATTTCTGCTGTTATTTTTAATGCTGATCCTGCAGGAACTTAATTAAAACACAAATGATAAACAGAATCCTGGATTTCTTTTTTTATTTCTTTAGTTTTATTTTCAGACTTTGAGTCAAAAATGTAAAATGAGTGACACCTGTGAAAACGTCTGATTAAAGGTTATTTTGTAAGGGACAGCAGGGACGTGCTTGAATAGCAAACGTCTTTATGTCCCTCGACCTTCTTTTTCTCACATTCTCCTTAAACTTCTTTCTTTGCCTGCGTCCCTCTCTAAATGACTGCCTCCAACACTGCCTTTAGTTCTATTATAACCCAGACTTTCAGGTAGCATTTGGTCCAGCCTGCTCTCTCTTTATAAACCACAGTCTCCTCATTGCTGAGCTCTTATAATAAAGTTGGATCCACATATTTTCTCTTACACTTTACACTTTACTA